CACAGGCCTGGGTTTGATCCTGGGTAACGCATTCCTGGCTGGCATGAGTTATGCAGGGAGACCCTGTACCAAATAATTAATTATTTTTTAAACATTTTATTAAAAACATCATATTTCCTAAGATTTGCTATACTGGGGGATATTTTTAAAAAATTACTTAAAATTCCTTTAATTCCTAGTGAATTTGATTGCTTGTTTTACAGCTCTAAATAAAAAATATAAAAAAGGTTTGCTATTTTACAAACAAATATAGAGGTTTGGAGTACAATCTAAAAACAGTATAGTTTAAATAGTAGCTTGATTTTGACATGCCATTTAAATAACAAAAGGTCTAGTGATGGCCTCCGAAGGACAGAGAAAGAGGTTCCCATTCATATTTCGTAGTATTCTGTGTCCAAATCAGCCAGGTGGTCCATACTGTCTTAGACACGGAAGTCCAGGTCCGTGGGGACTGGTGACATGGGCCAGAAGGCACTCAGGGCTCCCTTGAGGTCCTGAAGACTGTGTGCTGTGGGTTTGCTTTGACAGGTGCTTGAGGGACAGACCGTACACAAGGCCCCCTAGCAAGAGGGGATCAGGGGCTGGGCAGATGGCTCAGGAGAATAAGCACTTGCCTGACAGGAGGGAATCAGTTACTGGCTACAGGAAGTTGACAAGCCCTGCAGAAGTGCAGACCCTCAGCCTCCCTCCAGGGTTCTAGTCCCTACTCCAGGTACTAGAAGGCTCACCAGGAATGGCACCCTCTTCTCACAGATCAGTCCCATCTCATTAGTTTGCCTATAATACTGCCACCAGAGCATATTTCCATCACTCCTCTATGACACCAAGAGAAAGCAGGACCCACACTTTGGTCCTCGTCCACTTGGGGTGGATCTCCATTGCTGAAGCGCCTGTCAGAGCAAATCCAGAACCATATGGACCTCAGGACCTCGGCAGAGTTCAGCTGCGTCCCTCCGCTCAGGGGGCCTTCTGCCCCACGTCACCACACATGATCTGGACTGCCATGTCCTACCATTCTACCAGATCTAAAGCTATAGAAACCAACAATTCTGTTCTGAGTGCTTTTGTGAGGAGGGCCCTCAGCCCGTGAGTATCAGATGGCAAAAGCAGCGAGGGCCATGAAGGGACACCAGGTCTCACCTCGCCATCTCCACTGTGCCTCACTGCAGCACCTCTCAGTGGTCAGTGGCTGCCGTCAGAGGATGAGTGGGCAGCAGATAAACCATCGGGCCCAGACTGTCTGGTTGTACTTGCACAACACACGTATCAGCTGTGGGACACTGGGGAAGATGTGCTATAGTCTCTGTCCTCAAGTTCTGGTCCATAAAATAGGGCTGAGGCTACCTCAAAACTACCCCAAGGGAAGCCTGGATCAGTACATTATAGCCAGTGTTTTATTTTTCTATACCAACCCATGAACAGTCACATTAAGAAAACAAAAAGAGCTTCAACTATACTTAGCACTTAGATTTTGCCATCAAACGCATTTACCATAAACAATCAAAAAATAAAACACTTTTAGTTTAGATGTCTTAAAACTATGGATAAGGCATCTGTAGTTTCTGTTCCACAAGATGAGAATTAATTGTGCTAACACACACTGAGGACTTAGGATAGCACCTAGTATACAGCTGACGCTTTTGGGAGGTAGGGCGATGGTGCTGGGGCTCAACCCAGGGCTCACGCCCAGGATCGAACCCAGCCTGTTTTTTACTTGGAGACAGGATGTCACTCAGTCACTAGGTTACCAAGGCTGGGCTTGATCTCGTGATCCCCCTGCCCCTGGCTGCCAGAGTGCTGGGACTGCATGGTGGTGACCATCACACCCAGCGAAACTTCTTTTTAAGTGCAAGGCGCTTGTCAAGCTCTACAAGGGCTATAAACGTGAATAAAAATGATTCCTTTCTTGCAATCTGATAGACTTGGGCATTTAAGCTTTGCGTGGTAGCATTAGGCTAACAACTACTAACATATAAAATTATGTGTATGTTACACAATATGCTATAGTTTTACATCCCGTATCTTCCCATCTCCAAGCACTGTAAGACAGGCATATATGTATCAGATTAAGTAGCGAGCCCACTATCTAACCCTGGGCATTAAGACTTCTCCACACTCTTCACCAGCATCTCATGCCTCCCCCTGAGGCCTGGTGTCTGGGCTTCACAGCACGAGAATAGAGCACTGATAGACCAGGGTTATGGGGAGCCCGCTCCCCACTTTCTCTCCTTCCCTAACAATGGCATTTGAAATCGCATAACAAACTAGAAAGGTCAGCATAGCAAAGCCCCAACTCACCAAGTGTTGCAGGATGACGCTGGTTCTTCTAAATGAACTAAACCTGAAACAAATGTAGAACACAGTGAGCAGAGCAATGTGGGCAATTATGTCTCAATTTGCAAATACTCTACCTCCTTTTCCTTAAGTCTCTTATAAAAGTTACTTGAATAAAGCTCTACAGATTTAATTCTTATTGTTGATAGGGACAGCAATGAAGCAACACAGCCGTCTGTAAAGAGTTACAGTTTCTTACAAAACCCCAGATATTCTCATTGCATGATCCAGCCTCCCACTCTAGACTTCAAATTGAAGTCACATTAAAAAAAAAATCTGCACATGAATTTTACATTAGCATCAAATGTAATATAACTGCCAAAATGTAATAGTGAAGATGTCCCTCCACAGGTAAAGAACAAACCAACATGGGTATGTCCACACGACAGCCATAAAAAGTAAACTCTCATGCCACAGAAACACAAGGAGGACACTCCAGTGTGTGCTGCTCAGCAAAAGTCAATCAAAAAGCCTCTAGGGGCCAGCGAGATAGCTCAGTGGACTAAAGGGTCTTCTTAGGGACTGTGGTTCGATGCCTGGCACCACATGCCGCGCCACCCCTGCCCCCAGGGCAGGCTGAGCCACCCAGAGTCCAGGCTTAGTGGTTCATGCCAGTAATCCCAGTGCTGGGGAGGCTGAAAACAGGAGAATCACAATGAGTCCAACTGTGTAGTGAGACCCTGTCGCAACCAAATACATTAAAAAAACAAAAACAAAACACTCCACACTCACAATGTAGGACTTCCAGCACATGGCATTCTGGGGAGACAGGAGTCAACAAAAAGACCGGTAGAGTGGCCAGAGGTTGGGCTCAGGTGAACTTGTAGTGGAGATAGCTCTGGTCAGGATAGCAAAGCTAATCTACATGTAATCATGGGTAGGGGGGTTACACATTTTTCAAGTTTTCTGCTCAAATTTTCACTTCAGTGTTTCTGTGAACTTAAAAATGCTCCAAAAATATTTAAATGAATTTTGTAAAGTCAGGTAAGGATGTGATAAAACAGGCATTTCCAGACAGTGCTGGGACATGCATAAACTGGTACTTGTTGGTAAGCAGCATGGAGACACAGATCCACAGCCCTTAAAGTGGGGTGTCCTTTCACAGGTAACACATGACCCCGCTACTTGCCAGTGTGCCATCAACTCATTTTCCGAGGCTCAGGCCACCCACTCTCACTTACTACACACGATGAATTTATATGAAACGTGTATCTATCTGTTGCCTCTCAGTTTTTGAGGTATGAGTTGTTTTTAGTCATTCCATGCTTTTCTATGCTTACAAGATAGGAATAGAATCAGAAACGTATTTAAAGGCTTCCAGTTTTTAGAGGGATAAACTAACGAGCGATGGATTTCTCATCAAGTTATGTGCAAAAGTATCATATATGCTGTTTTACATACCACTATATTTACAACTGTTGAAGACTGTATATAATTTTAAAACTAGTTGTTTTACTCTTGAAGAGTACAGTAGCTCTTTATGAAAGCAACTCTTACTGCTTCGTTTACATATATAGTATAATATTCTATATGTTATTCTAACCCATTTTCCTCTATATTCTACTGCCCTAATTGTACTGTCTTCTGGTTTATACTTAGGTCTTTTTTTTTTTTCTTTCTTTTTGCGGAACCGGGGATTGAACTCAGGCCCTTGCGCTTGCCAGGGAAGCACTTATTGCACTGAGCCATCTCCCCGGGCCCCATATACTTAGGTCTTGAGACAGTAACTTTTTGAAAAGTAAATTTACAGTGAAAAGTATAAAAATAAAAATTGGAAAAATTCCACAAGTATCTGCCAGGTTTGATTTATAAAGATGTTGACAACAAATATTTACATGAAGGACAAACTGGAGAAGTAAACAGAACAACTGTATACAGAGCATACACAGTTACACAGCCACTGACACTGATTTTGCAATATTTAAAAATTACTGGGAAGGTTATAACAAAATGACAAAAAGCAAGCAAGCTAGGGAACAAACATTTCTGATTTTGTTGTTTTTGCTGGGCTGCAAATACACAGCTTGGCCAGAGTGAGCAGCAAGGTCAGCCATCAGCAGAGAGGAGTGCAGGGAGAGCTGGGAAGGGGCTCAGAGGCAGACACCAGTCACAGGACCAAGACTCCCATCCCTGCTCAGGAAGGACACTGGCAGCTTCAGAAGTCACTGAACCCCTTATGCAAATCCCCATGAAACAAACTACAAGGCATAATGGGGAAGGTAGGGACAGGATGGGATCCTGCACAGGCTTCTGAGACGCTGGTATTACCTTGCTTTCTGAGTCAAGTGCTAGGGACCAGGATGTTTATGAGAATGCATGAAATCCTATCTTTATGCTTTGGACTGAAGGGGGAATTAAAATTTTAAGTAAAAATCTACCAAGGATGCCTGCTGCAACCAGGTGGACATGTCTGGCAGGACCAATAACAAAACACAACTTCCTTCATGTACCTCTGTCTTTGCTTCCTTTTTATAACCCATGTATAACTGTAGGCTTATGATGTAACCTGAAATGCTTATACTCCTTTAGCAACCCATGTCACCCGACCCTCCAATCATGCGCACTGAGTCTGCCTCTACACCTCTCCTTAATTTCCCTTTAAAATGCCTGCTAGGCTGGGATGTGGCTCTTTGGGAGTGGGAGAGAGCCTCCGTGGAAGCCCACCGGGGTAATGAACGGCCCCCTAACCTTCTCGATGTCATTCTTCCCATATTTGGTCTGTTTTCAACAACAGGACCTTTTTAAAGGTTCCAAAAGGATACCGTATTTGTCCCTTGGGAAACTCTAACCGTAGTGACAGTGCATATAAAGATGTTATAGCTGGAAATATAATGAGATGCATGTTTATTTTAAAAGCTGTAGGGGGCCTGCCCCTTAGCTCAGTTCTTGGGCTGGGGAGATGGCTCAGTAGAATAAGCGCTTCCCTGTTAAGCACAAGGGCCTGAGTTCAATCCCTGGTTCCGCAATAAAATAAAATAAAAATAAAGCTGTAGTTAAGATATACAGACAAATCACAGCTACAGTCAGTACCCACAGAGGCCTGATAAGGCCAGTGTGTACCTGTGGATGGGCACGCTGTGTGTGCTAATGGCCAGTCTGGTCATTTCAAGGACACTCTGACATTACCTGAGGAGCAGCAGCCTCACCATGGCTTAAAAATAAAAAAGGCAGTATGACATTATTGCCACTTGTAGCCACACTTTAGATGGTTCAATGTGTAGAAACATTTGTAGTTCAGACTGGCACAGTGTTGCTCTCCTGTGGATCCCAAATTCAGGCCCGGGGGGGGGGGGTACCAGCTCGCGCCCCCCCCCCCCGGTCCCTCTCTCAGGACAGGAGCTTTCTTTCTCTCAATAAATATATTCTGCTCATTAAAAAATAATAATTAATTAAATCAAATTCAAGCCCAGTATGGGCAACTTAGTAACTTAGGGAGGCTCTGTGTCAAAAACTCCTGAAGGGCTGGGGAGATGGCTCAGTAGAATAAGCGCTTCCCATGCAAGCACAAGGGCCTGAGTTCAATCCCCGGTTCCATTGGGGTTGGGGGTGGGGAACATGCCTTAAGTGCTGGGCTTCTCCTTCTAGAGCCCCAACACTGCCACCTGGTGGCCTTCAAAAGACCTCGCACGTCTCAGCTACAGCTCTGTTCACTTTGCAGCCTACATCACTGGGCAGCTAACAGCGATCTGGCTTCCCAGAGGCCCACTCATCATGGGACACTGTCGGAGACACTTCCACGTCCTCGTCTCGGCCCACGAAGCCAATATTTGTAATCCCAAAGTTACCTTATTGGAATCCCATCAAGTTGATTCCAATCTACCACCTTCAATGCAACCCATGGCGAAAATACACTAAATTATATTTTCCATCATCAGGGAGTCAAAGGGCCCTAAGTCCAGCCATGAAGATGGCTTTCCGGAACCAAGAGAGCGACCCAGGGCCTCACCCAGTTTTATTCAGTGGAGGAGTGACTTGAGGAGGATCGAGTGAGAATTGTGGTTAGTATGTGACTACTATGAGCTGAGCTAGGTGGGTGGCCTAAATTTACCTCTGCCATATGCAGAGAGAGTAATCTGCGTTATACAGTATCTAATGTTTTGGTAAGTCTGGTGCTTCATCTCTGATGTAGTCTTTCAAGCCCCAGGAAGTCATGGCCTCTATCTCGAGGCTCAATCCCAGCTGGCAGCGTGGAGCATTAGTTCTACCGTCCTGCCCCCACCTGGCTCACATTAAAGAGCAGCAGATGTAGGTTATCAGGGAAACACGCACGCCACCTTCAAAGACTATCACCAGCACCTCAGCCAGGCCAATACACATTGCTTAAGGCCAACTGAAGGATAAAAAGAAGTCCTAGCCAGCTCTGTACAGAATACGAGGAAACAGGGTCAGGCTCAGTCAAAATGGAGACAGTCGCTCTTCTTTCAAGGAGAGCTGCTCAGGTGGTCCTCCAGAGGACACCCTGGGCACTTGGGCAGGCAGGCAAGAGGCCAAGCTGGCTGGACAAATTTTCCAGGTGATTATAATGAGTTTAGAAGTAGAGATACTTATCTCGGAATGACAAGACCTTTACCATTCTGGAACTTTCTGCAATTTCTAACAAAACAGGCTTTAAAAAAAAAGAGATTCTGTATCATCTGTAATTTTTGTTTTATTACTATTTTTTACTCTCTTTAAAAAAGTTTTAAAACCTTAAAAAAGAAAAAGAAACAGAGCTGGCAAGATAGCTCAGCAGACTAAACACCTGCTTAGGCAAGTGCAAGGACTAGGGTTCAATCCTTAGCACAAGATGCCACACCGGCCCGGTCCCCAGGCACACTGAGCCAGCCACCAAGACCAGGTGTGGTGGCGCACACCTGTAATCCAGTGCTGGGGAGGCTGAAAACAGGAAGATCACCACAAGTCCAAGCTGCATAGTGAAATCCTGTACCAAATACATTAAGAAAGAAAGAAAGAAAGAAAGAAAGAAAGAAAGAAAGAAAGAAAAGTAACTTAAGCAGAAGTCCAGAGGTAGCCAAGGGGCCAGTAAGATAGCACAGTGGACTAAAGTGCTTGCTTTGGCAAGCTTAGCCAAGTGCAGGGACCACAGACTGGCTAAATGGTCACAGAAGGGGGCTGGGAAAAGACAGCCTAGCTCTGAGAGTTTCCTGCTAAGTGGAAAGCACCGAAGAAAACCTGGCCAGATGAAAGTGGCCCTCGTGGACACAACCGAGGGTAAATCCATCAGTTCAGTTCTGCAAATCAACCAGTGCTAACTCAGAATGTTGTATCACTTTGACTCAGCGGAAAGCAACAAGGTTTGGGAGTGTGGAGAACTTCGGTGTAAGAATCTGTAAGTGACAGGAGCAAGAGAGAGGTAAGTGAAAGGCTGGCTGTATGTGCACGCAAATGTGCAGGAGAAGCACAACAGAGAAGCCGGATGGGTGTCCCAGCACCAGAGGTCAGGATACACCAGGTAGACACACTTCAGGGGAGTTATCTGGACAAACTCTGAGGGCTAAAGTGACAGGAGGACAAGATAAACAGTGAAGCATGGAGCAAGAACACGAGGTAGGAGGAGCTAGAGAAGCCACAAGAAGCCGTAGTTCAAGTGGCCTAGGTCCAACAGTGTCAAGCATGGCAGGTCCTGCCTCCTCTCCTGACCTTTCTACACGTGGGCACTGGGCCCTGGACACTGGATGAGCTGGCTGTTTTGCTGTGGTAATACTGGACCTGGGAAAGGGCTTATCTGATCCAAACCCCCAGCCTGCTGCAGCATCACTAGGCCAGCCTGCATCCAGAAATACAGGGTGGAATAAAGCCAGGGTGACAGTATTTGCCCCTGTTGTCGTTGTTTGTGGTCCTGGTGATGGAATCCGGAGACTCTGCACTGAGCTACATTCCCAGCTCATTTTATTTAGAGACAAGCTCTCACTAAATTCCCCAAATGGGCCTCAAAACGTATGGCTCTCCTGCTTCAGTCCCTCAGACCTAGGATTTGGGCTGGGGAGATAGCTCAATAGAATAAGCTCTTGCCTGGCAATCACAAGGGCCTGAGTTCCATCCCAGGTTGGGGGCGGGGGGAACTAGGATTATAGGCACGAGCCACCACACCGTACCTAAATTTCAGAAACACGTCTTTCCAGTGCTTATCCAAAAAAACTGGTATTTGCTGACATCATTTTTTTTTAAAGCAGCAGCAAAAAATGTGTGTACAGGTATTCTCTACAAGCTGGCAAAGGCACTGAAACTGATTTGAAAAAATTCAGAAAACAAGACAGCTCTCCAGGGTGTAACAAACACCTGCGAATCAGGCCCTCCGATACCGCGTTGCACAACCTCACACTTTCCTCCCTTCTTGGAAACTCCTGAAGAAACGACCCCACACCCTCACACCCTGCGGGGAGACCCCTGGAGCAAACTCTCGGGCCTAGCAACTAGCCAGGGAGTAAAGACGGGCTGGCTCCCTTCCAGGAGGCCCTGCTGCCCACTGCAGTGGGCAGGGACAGGGCAGTCCCGAGCCTCACCGCTGCCCGCCGGCCTGGGTCGGGTCGGCTGGTCTGAGCAAGCCAGAGGCCGCAGGGAACCTGCACGGCTTCTCAGCCACGCCACGGCCACGCGTCCACACAGGCTGAAAATGAAGCACCTAAGTTTTTGTTATGGGGGTTGCTTGTTCTGAGACAGGGTCTTGCTTTGTAGCCCCGGCCGACCTCGAACTCGGGGCAGTCCTCCCGCCCAGGCCTCCTGAGCGCCGAGATTCAGGCCCGCGTAAGTCGACGGCCACCACGAACGCTGGTGCCACGCCGGCAACCGGGCCGGCTGCAACAGAGCAAGCCCCGGCGGTGGAGACAGGCGGCTCGGAAGGGAAGCGCTGTCCCGGGCAGAGAGGGAGGCAGCCTCGCCACCGCCCTCCGCGGCCCGCCGCCGCGCGGCCGCCCGCTCACCTGAACCCCAGGCACAGCGCAGCCGGCCACCCCATCGCGCCAAGGACGCCGTCTGCACAGGGAGACTGCGCGGGACGCCTCGCGTTAGCCCCGCCCACCGCGCCGGACAGCGAGAACAAGTCCTCCGGGCGGCCAGAGCGTCCCGCACCGGCCTTTCCGCTTAGAAGATGGGTGAAGGTGCCGGGCCTGGGCGGGGCCAGGGCAGGGCGGGGTTACGCGAAGGACGGGTCACGTGCAGGGGCGGAGCCACAGCGAAAGCGTCAGGAGAGAGTCGGTGACGCAAGGGAGGAGAGAGCGTGGCCCTTGTTTAACCGGAAAGCTACATTGCCCCCTAGAGGCTATCTTGGGGAAAGCCGAATCCATCGCCCAACCTGGCCTACTCATTTATCTTTATTAGTGCATGTTTGCAGTACATGATTGATTACATGCATGGTGGAGAGTTGGTACAGGTACAGAACCAATTCATTTATTTCCCCGAGGCCTGTTAATTTGACCACAGTATGGGTATGAAAACATTTCTGAAATTCTAATAATATTTTATTTAAAAATATACTTTGGAAATCACACAAGATACACTTGGTAACAGGTAGCTAATTAATTTAGTTTACTCCTACCCCAATATAGCCTAATTTTTCACTTTATAGTTAGAGTACTGCTACTTTTATTGGGAAAAGATAAATTCCCATTTTCCCCAAGGACAGACAAGAATATCTTAGTAAGAGGCAATAGATACATCCTCACCAACTAAACTAAAAATGACTGTTACCTGAAAAGCATAATTACATTCAGAAAGTAGCTTATTTTCAAAAGGAAACACAGATTTGTAACTAAATGGCTAGGCTCTGCTATGAAGTAGCTTCCAGATTCATCCAGATGGCTAGAAACAAAATTTCATCACCACTAAAATATTGATATATTAGTTAGAAATAAGGAATTTGATGAAGAGTTTCAGAGAGCAAGAAGTTAAAGTTTTTGTTGATTTTTGTGGTCCTGGGGATTCAAACCAGGGCCTCTCACCTGCTAGGCAAGCCCTGTGCACCTCATAGCCCCACAGGAATTACCACTGGCTCCTTGGTATTCAAAAGAGATACACTACCAAAGCTTTGATCAAAAATTAGCTTCGTAGGGGGCTGGGGAGATGGCTCAGTAGAATAAGTACTTGCCTGGCAAGCCCAAGGGCCTGAGTTCAAACCCCAGTTCCGGAAAAAAAAAAAAATAGTTTTGTAACCTAGGCTACATATAACAAGTAAATGTCCAATGTGGAGAGGAAAAACAAGACCAGACCCGCAGTCAGTCCTGAATCAGCAGCAGTTGTGTCATGTGTCATCTATTGGGCATGGATGACAGGTCATGTTATCTGCCATGGCTTGCTGGGAGGAACACAGGCCTTCCGGTCACAGCAGTCTGAGACTACAGTCTTCTTTGTCTGCCTAGCTTCACTGCATACAACCTGTGTCCAATCACGTGCCATGCTCAGAAGGGCCTTATGTTTGATTTTCTTGTTCTGCTCTTAATAATTTTGAAGCAAGGTATCCCACATTTTTCTTTTCTCGTAGTCCTATATATTACATGCCCAGTCCTGCCCCGAGTTTTAAAGTATTTTCATTATTCCAGGAAGAAACTCTGTACCTCTGAGCTGTCACCCTCCAACCTCCCTGCCTCCTGTCCCACTGTGCAAAGCCCCAGTAAACCTTCTTTCCCCATATAATTGCTCACCTCAGCACTTGTAAGTGGAACCATACAATTGGTGACCTTCTGTGACTGGCATCTGAGACTCATTCATGCTAATGTGTGAACTAGTACATCAGCACCTTCCCTTGATGAATACAACTTCCTCATGTGGATCTGTAGCTTTTGTACCTTTCTATTAGCTGCTGGACATTTGGATTGTTCCCAGTTTAGGGCTGTTATGAATAGCACTGTACAACATTCACATAGACATTTTTTTGTGTACTGTGTTTTAATTTCCATATATCCAGGAGTGGTGGCGTTCGGTCATACGGTACCTCTATGATTAACCATTCAAACAAGTGTACTAGGGTCTGGGACTGTATCCTTTAAATGCATGAACTGTATGGTATGTAAATTACATCTGAATTTATGAAAAAAGACTTTGGTTACTCCATATCCTCAATATTTTTGTGTTGTTAGGCTTATTGATTTTAGCTCTCCTGGTGTGCGTGTGCTATCTCACTATGCTTTCAATTTTCCTTTCCCTAGTGTCTAAGGATATTGAGCACTTCTTCAAAAGCTTATTACTTTCTTTTGTAAAGCACTTGTTCAGTTTCTAGTCTATTTTTAAATTGGGCTGTTGATTATTGCTTGATATTGTAATTATCTACTGCTGTTTCAAATGACCCCAAATGTAAATCTTAAAGCAGTGACCTCTGATGGCTTCTCGGAGATGAGGAGGCTTGGGAATGAGGGGAGGCTGAGTCATTGGCTCTGGCTGAGGGACCCTCCTGGGGCTGCCATGTTGGCTGGGATTTCTGTGATCCGAATGCCATCCTGACCCAGGCCAGAAGGCAACGCTTCCACACTCCTGTGGTTGTTGGAAGCCTCAAGGCACTGCTCACAGTAGTAGCAGCTTGCTTCCTCCAGGGCCAGGGGCCCTGGAGCTAATCACCAGTGCAGAGGCCATTGTGTCAGTCATAACCCAGTCCTGCAAGATGGTGACCAACCATCACCACTTATCCCATTGGCCACATAAGCCAACCCAGGACACTATGGAATGATAGGAACACTACAAGGCCAGGACGTCTGAGGGTTGTTTGAAGCTAACTACCGCCTTCTCTCACTGCCGGTTATCAAAGCCTGCCAGTTAGGTCTTGCCCCAGCCTCTTAGCTCTCCATTGCTACCATTGTAGTGTACTAACAACTCATTCCAGACCTACCTCCTCTGCTCTCCCTCAAGCGTCGCATCCCCCAGTTCCTTCCGCACTTTACTGACAACTCTGACTGAAATTTTGTGTTTTACTTACTCCTCAGCTGCTAACTGATCTCACAGTTCTCCAAGGCTGTTAACACTCAGCACGTGAGGCTGTTGAGCTGTTAAGCTCAGCTAGTGCACCTGAGGAATTGAATTCCTAAAGTTTAAATTTAAAAGCTGAGGTCGTGTAAAAATTTTCTATTTATTACATGTTAAAGTGACAATATTTTAGATATATTGAGTTAGTGACAATGTATTTTGCAATTAACTTCACCTATTTCCTTTCACTTTCACTTGTGGCCTACGTTGCTTCTGTGTTACACAGCAGAGGGCCGTGGCCTTCCGTTCAAATGGACTGACATTTGAAGAGACAGAAGCAGCTCCACCCACTTTACAGCCACCTGACCTTGCTTGCCATTCACTGGTGTTTCTCCGTATCACCCATATTGCTCCTGGATGTTGAGTAGAAAATGTTCATTTTCTGCCTCTGTTTTAGCCCTTCTACTCCTCATACCACAAGCTCCAAGCCCCTTTTATCCTTTTGTAAAATATTTATCTTGAAGGCTTTGCTTCAGTCTAATCTTCCTGCAGTCTCCTTAACCTATATTAAACTTTCCCGAGTTTGAGTTATACTTCCAGTTGGCATCACAGTTGGTTTTTATTTCATGCCTAATTGTTTGCTGAATGCTAATTTTCTCAAGTAATTTCTTTGAGGATAGGCAGTCTAGCCCACATTACCTCTGAATATTTCAAAAGCTGGAGCTGTGCAGGGCGTGGTGGCGTCTATAATGGGCAGCTCAGCCGGAAGAATCACAGCTTGAAGCCATCTTTCTCCACACAGTTTCCCAACTTTTGCACAATGGCCTTTTATGGGTGACATGTTTTTGACACAGTGTTCTTTGCCAAGCCGCAGGGCAAGTCAGTGATGGCAGTGGTCCTTACCTCAAAGCACTGCGTGTAAGGTCGCAGTGCACTGCTTGGTCTGATGCTTGACATGCTTGAAGTCTCAGATGTCTTCAAGCAACGCCTGGGTCATCCACCTGGAGGCCAGAAAATAGAGCTCTGCTCAAATATCACAGATAGGAAGTGTAGGAAACACCTGATTCTGTGGCTCCAGGTGTTGATGTCCTCCTGGAGACCCCAAAAGGGTAGGGATACCCTCTCTTATCTGCCACGAGAGAAGTGATATGGGATATTGTGGCACCTGTGAGCTTTCCCTACTATTTTCTCTCTTAACCTATAGGCAACCTTCTGAATCCCAAGGTTTTAGCAGTTCCTGAGGTTGAGTAATGAAATCTAGATCTTTCTCTTTCCCATTGGTCAATACCCAAAAAAAACCTCCCACAGGGTTACTATTCAGCAAATAAGAATCAGAAAGGCTATAAAATTGCTATTGCATTGAAATGCTTTCCAAACTCATATATTAATAGCCACCACCTGCAGCCAGATGACTCAGTCACTCAGGCTCTAAGAAGCCCCAGGTGGGCTCTATTGAGGAAACCAGCCTGGCACCTGCCCACTGACTGGCATAGCTACCTACCCTAGACCCCAGCCTTACATCCTCACAGTGCATCCACATCCTTTTGAGGGGTTGGCACCCTTGGCAGGAGGGCTTGTGTACCAGAAAGCTTCTGCCTGGTGACATGCAGGCTGCCTTTCCAAGGTGTATGCTAGAGCTACCCCCAAAGCTCTGCAGCATATCGCAGTTCTTCGGTACTCTGAAGATTATACCCTCACTTTTCTGCTTGTGCTAACCATTGTGTAAAGCCCAGAGAACAGGACTGGAGTATATGCAGCATCATGACCTTGTGGAAATGATCACATCACACAAAACTGGAGCCCCATCTAAGGGGCCTCTCCTCTCTGTCTCTCTCCCTCTTGCCTTGCATGCATGGAAAGAAAGCCTTCCAGAAGAAAGGACTGTTTTAGTCGCAGACACTGCACTGATGGGGCCTAGTAATAACTCTGCCATCCTAGTGGCACTAGAGAGATGAGAGGAGCCAGGTCACTGAGGACCTGGAAAGCCACCTGAAGGACATTTAAATAGAAATATGTTGTAACCAGATTTGAATGGTATCAGGATCACTTTGAAGCATATCCAGCACATCAGAGGACAGATGTCTGGTGTCTTGGCTACTGTTCTCCTTGCAGGAACAAAATGCCCAACAT